GCTCTCGGCTTCTCGCCGCCCGGCGCCGAACTCCGCCACCGGGCAGCGCTGCCACGGGAACCGGCGGGGCGGCGGCCGCTGATTGGCTGCCGGGGGAAACGAGAGGGCGTGGCTCGAGGAAAGGGGTGTGGTCTGCGTCTTAGGGGGCGTGGCCTGACGGAAAGGGGCGTGGCCGGCCGCCTCTCCTTTCCCCGCGCGGTGCTGCCCCGCGTGGCCGCGCAGCGTGCGCGGGGTCAATGATTGATGCGGGCGCTGAGTCACGGCGCGGGGACGGGAGAACTTCGCTCCCGGGTGGGAGGGAGCGGCCCCGGGCAATGCTCGCGGCCACGTGCGTGGGGGCCACGCGCTCCTTCGCGGTAAACCACGAGCGGGGGCTTCCTCGGGGACGGGTCCCGGTGCGCTCCGTGGGGCTGAATTGCGGGGACAGCGGCCGAAGGGCGCGCCGCTTCGTGGGCGGCTCCCGGCGCCCCGACCAGGGGACGCGGCCCAGCCCCGGGCATCGGCGAGGCCTCAGGTGGGCGGCAGATGGTGCGGCCCGGCACAACAGGTGGGCGCATTGTGCGCGGGTCCCAATTAACTTCGCCTCATTAGCAGCCGGAATCGCAGCCCCAGTGTAGGGATGGGATTACAGTTGGAGCCGGGGCTGCTCTGAGCTCCAATCATCTGGGCGTGCCTGCGAGCAGCAGGGCTGCCTTACTGACTGCGCCCTGGTAGCAGCCCCTCTGGCTCCTCGCTGGCAGCTTTAGGGCTTTATTTGTTGGGGCTTCGGGGCTCTTTCCCCATTTCCCACCCAGGAGCAGTTTGCCCTCACACAGAGCAGCAGTGCCTGCCGAGGGCGCGCGGTGCTGTGCAGAGCTGCAGGACGGAGTGCTGTCTGCGTGCAGAGCCGCGCTGGGTGCTGTGCTGGGACACGGTGCAGCTGGGAGCTCCTGCGTGGGACGTGCACGATGTGCCCGTGTTGGCCCCACTGGGGCTGTTGGGGCGAAGCCATTTTCAATCAGAAAATATTAATTGCTGAATTATTTTTGAATGCATTGTTAATGTCTCGGAACTGCATTTCAGTCCTTGCTGCCAACGTTTGTGGGGCTGATGCCCCAGTGATGCCAAATACCAGGGTGAGGAAATCAGGCTCGTTTGCTGCCAGTTCCTCATTGCTCACCCCCACGTTCACATTCCGGTTCCAGCATCCTCCTGCCCGGGTCCCACACCCCGTGTGCCCCCTGCAGCCCTGTCCCCAGCGAGCCCCGCTGCCCTCCTCATCCACCCGGCTGCAGAGGCAGTGGTTGCTCCCTGCGAAGCAAACAGCAACTCACACACTGCAGGCAGCCCCTTCATTTTCCTGCTGCAGCTCCCTGCAGGGATCAGCGAGTATGAGAGGGATTCCCCTATGCCTCCCCTGCTCCAAGATGAGCACGCAGCTCCCAGCATCCCTCGCCCCCACCCGGTGCTGGCAGCATGGCCCCAGGCTCAGCCCCGGTCCTAAGGGAAATGAGAGGGAACAGAACAAGCAGAAGAATGCAGCAGTGCGAGCTGCGTCCTGCCTGCCTCAGCCGGCAAAAATGTCCTGGGGGGCCCCCGGAGAATCCTGGGGGTGTGAGCATCCACAGAGCTGCGCAGGCTGAATCCTTGCACTCTGAATCCCTTGTCACCTTCTTTCCTTTCTTTTCAGGCTGCTATGCATTGCCCAGGCAGCACCCGGGTCAGGCCGTGGGCTCTGATTTTCAATGTGCCAGTTGCACATTGGGTCTGTCCCAGCTGGGTGATGGGACAGCGGTACGCCTGGGAGCTGCTGCCCGTGTGGAGATGTTTATAGAGATACCTTTATATATATAATATAAATTATATATACATGGAATATTTACACAGTCATAGAATTATAGCGTGGCTTGGGTTGGAGTGGACCTTAAAGATAATGCAGTTTCAACTGCCAATAATTATATACGGTGTATAACATTATGTTGTGAAGAAGAGGGAATACAAACGAATGTAAATACATCGATCGTACCGAATCCAGCTTCTCATTCTATGCATTATTTCTGATTCTCAGAGCAGCCAGAGGAAGGCAGAGGAAGGCATGGGATGCTCTGCACAGTCATGTCAGATTCCAGCAATGGGCCGGGGCTGTGCTGCACTGCTCGGGACAGGGCTGGGGAGAACAGGAGCGGGGGATGAGACAGGAACATGGACAGGGGAGAACAGCAGCACAAGAAAACCGCGGGAGCTGAACGTGCACCAAGAGCCGCAGGCTTTGCTTGTGCCGCACCGGTCAGGCAGCCCATGCTGCTCATTAGCAGAGAGCCGGGGCAGCTCCTCTGCCTGTAATCACCCTAATGAGCAGTTGCCACGCTGTCTGCAGCAGAGTGATGCCGTGACCTGCTTTCAGGCCGTTTGATCTCGCCTGCCCGCGTTCCCCTGCCGGCTGCTGCTGCCTGCGCACCCCAGCACACGTGGTCTGAGCACGCCTGCTGCCAGCACGTTCAGCACGCCGAGGTCTTCTGCAGCCCCAGCATCATCCAGGGACACAGCACCACCACGCTGCTCCATGAATGCACGGAGCCTGGCTGCGGGGTCGGCCTTGGAACGTGGGTCTGACAGTGGGGAAAATGTGCAAAGCACCCCAAAAGTCTCAGGGAGCAACACCGAGCCAGAGGGCTGATCCAGCTGAAAAGCCATGGCATGGGCCACAAAAATGAATGAATGAATTAAAAGGAGATGTGTTTGCTCTTTTGCAGCCAGCTGGGCCACAGATACATCTCCACAGGGTGTGGTGGCACAGAGCAGCACTGCTGGCAGCACTGCATGTACCTCACTCATCCCAGCCTTTGCAGCACCGCTGTTGTGCCCGCTCCCCCAGTCCTTCTGGGGGGAAAATGCTTTATTTCTTCTCTTTTCCTCTTTCCAGCAGAGCCCACTGAGAGCAGATGGATGCTGCAGAGGGGTTTGGTAAGGGCAGAGCTCAGGACCAACCGTCTGCTTCCCGAGGCTCTGGCGCTGCCTCTGTCAGCTGGAAATACCTGCTGTCCCACTGCTGGGAAGGAGCAGCACTCACCTTGCAAGTTGCTTGGGATTCAGGGGAAGAAGAAACAGGCAGGGCTCAATTAGCCTGAGTTAACTTGAGTTCCGTGGCTGCACGCTCTGCTTCACTTTTCTGTTGCACATCTCCTTGTGCAGAGCAGTGCTGTGCTTTTTTGCTTTCAATGCACGTACCTTCTGAGGAAGCAGTGCTGTTGCTCACGTGTTTACAGCCCTCCTGTTAACGGCACTGCAGGGTTTCCCGCTCTGGAAAACCCACGCTGAAATGAGCAGGGTAAGCAGGAGTCCTGCAGGACATCTGCCCACTGCTGCTGCCCCACTGCCAGCACTGCTCAGCTCCAGAACTGCTTCCCCTCAGGAGCCCACGCACCAGGAATGCTCAGTGCAAAGAGCTCAGCACAAAGCACACTGTGTTCTGGTCTGCTGCTGCTGCTGCATTCCCTGCATCTAATTGCAGCCCTGAGCACCATGCTCTGAGTGCTATCTCCAGGCAGCACATTGGGAATCCACTGAGAACAGCTGCCAGAAAGCTGAGCAGAAAGTTGCTGAAGATGCTTTGCAGTGTGCCATGACAAGGTGGAGCTTCTCTCGCTGCTCCAAAGCCATGGCTGTACTTCATTCAGAAGCAAATGTCGCATTCCATGTGCAAGAAGTCAGTGTGCTCTCAAAGAGCACCTGAGCAGCTGCCTCCCGGTGGGTCTGCTGCGTGCTCTAGCAGCGAGGTGGCACACACATCGGGAGAGAACCAGCACCGTGAGCTTCTTTAGTTAGAAATTAGGAAAAATACACCTGAGGAGTGGAGTGAGGACCTAAACCAACACCTCAAGCCTGCTATGTTTCCTCTTCTTGCTTAGTAAGCTGACAGCTGCTGGCAGCGCTCAGAAATCGCAGAGCTGTGTGTTGCAGGCATGCAGAGAGCAGCCATTTCAGCCCCATGGAGCAACAGCAAAAAGCTCCCAGCTGCTGGGGGTGATGCACAGCTGAGGAAGGGCTGCAGAGCAGAGCCGCCCTGCACACGTGAGCTCCTATGCGGGAGATCCATCGCTTCGAGGGAGGCTTCCCAGAGGCCTCTGCCAAGCACCGCTGCTGTGGAGCACTGCATGCAGCCCCGTGCTGTGTGGGTTCCACGAGCCGTGCATGCTCAGGAACTGGAAATAAATGACTTAAAATGATTTTCTGAAGCAATTGTTGAATTGTGGTCTAAGCTCTCAGGCTTAGGGCAAACATCAGAAATATCCTCACAATTACTGCTGTAATTACAGCAGCGTGTGCCAGGAGGGTCTGACTCGTATTTAGTGATATTTCAGGAAGAAATGTCAAATACGCGCCAGTGAAGTACGTTTTAATTCTCAGCACATTTATCATTTCCACTGGCTATCAGCAGGGCTAATGAGTACTGCAAATATTTGTGGCCCACTCGATATCGTCCTCTAAGGGTGTGTACGTGGTAATTATTTGAGTACGAGCCGTAATGGAAGTATTCCAGCTAGGAAGTATTCCGCCTCAGAGCTCGAGGTAACGGTGACTCCCACGGCACATCTCAGCCCCGCACGGCAGCGCTGAGGGGGATCGCGGCGGGATCACGGCTCCGCTTGGGCGCGCTGCTCTGAAGCGCCGTGTAGCCGAGCACAAGCTGTCGCAGCCAGCTCGATTGATTCCTTAACTCGGGTTTGTGGCTTGGAGCATTTTAAGGGCACAATGTTTCAGAGCGCCTGTGCGTTTACTCGTGTGGAGGTGGGTTTGTTTTCGCGCGCACTGCTCGCTGCGCTCCCGCCCAGCACGGAGCCGCGCCGCCCGCCCACGCCGCAGCCATGGCGGCCCCCGCCCGCCCGCCCGCGGCCCCACACAATGGCGGCGCGGAGCATGCCGGGAGTTGTAGGTCGCCGCCCGCGCGCGCGGCGTTGGGCGCGGGCCGCCTCCAAGTCCCGGCGCGCCTCGCGCGGGGTGAGGTGCCCGGATGTGCCCGGCGCCGGAAGAGAAGCGGGTCTCTTCGCGGCCGGCCATCTTGTGCGGCAGCGAGCAGGGCGCGGGGGGGCCCGGCAGCATCGGAGCAGGATCCCGCCGACGGGGGCCCATCATGCCCGGACACCTGCAGGAGGGCTTCGGCTGCGTCGTCACCAACCGCTTCGACCAGCTCTTTGATGACGAGTCCGACCCCTTCGAGGTGCTGCGGGCGGCCGAGAGTCGGCGGAAAGAGAGCGGCGGCGGCGGCGGGGCCCAGGGGGGCGGCGGGGCCCGAGGAGGCCCGGCGGGGGCGCAGAGCAACTCCTCGGGCGGTGCCGGCGGCGGAGGGCCGGGCCAGGCGGGATCGGGCGGCGGAGCGGGCAGCGCGGCCAAGCAGCTGCGCAGGGAGTCCCAGAAGGAGCGCAAGAACCCGCTGCCGCCCTTCGCCGCCTCCGCCGGGGGAGAGCGCCGGGAGGAGGGCGGCGGGCAGCCCGGAGCGCCGCTGCGGAAGGAGGGTGAGCGCCGGCGGGTTCCGCGGGAACGCACAAAGGCGGCGGCGGGAAGCGACGGGCCCGGCCGGGAGGGAGGGAGGGAGGGAAGCGGGCGGCGAAGAAGGGAGGGAGGAAGGGAGGGAAGGAGGGAGCGGCCCCCGGCCCGCGTCGCGCACGTGGCGGGAGCGGGGCCGCGTGGCGCGGGGGGGCGGCCACGGAGAGTCCCGCGGAACCGCACGTGGCCGCGGCCCCAAAATGGAGGAGCGCGTGGGGTGTCCCGAGTGTCCCCGTGGGTGGGTTTGGTGTAGGCGAGGGAAGGGGTCGGGGGTCCTTTGGTACTGCAAGGAGCTGGTAAACTCGTGAGCGACTTCTGCACGGGCAGGTGGCGATGGGACTGGGGGGAATGGCTTTCAGCTAAAAGAGGGGAGATTTAGTTCTAGATGTAAGGGGGAAGTTCGTTCTCTGAAGGCAGTGAGGCCCTGGCACCGCTGACCAGAGCTGCTGTCCCAACCCTGGAGGTGCGTGAAGCCACCGATGGGTCCTGGACAGCCGGAGCTGGTGGGGGCACTCAGCCCTGGGGTGAGGGCCCTTTCGACCCCGCCATGCTGGGATCCTGGGGTTCTGTGATGGAAGCAGCAGGAATTAGGAAAACCTCCACGTGAGCTCCGGACGGTCGGTGGGTGCAGGTGTGTGTCACGCTCTCAGCAGAAGTCACTCATTTTTGTGCAGCAGTGGTAACTGAGTCGGTAGGAACAACGCATGCTTGGTTAATAACTTGCATCTTCCGTCATGTCTGTGCGACCCCGGAGCCCACTCACCAGGGCGTTCTGGCTGTTGAAAGTGCACACAGGCTGAACAAATAAGCTGTGACAGAGGGGTCGGTGTGACAGAGAGCCGTGTGACAAGCAGCAGCTTTGTGCATGCAGGTGGCTGTGCAGCACCCCGTGTGGGGGTTTGGGTTACACTGGGCTTTAAGAAAGAAGTTAATATATGATACTAGAAGGTGCTCCTGCCGAATAGCGAGAAAACACCGGGCAGCACCTGGGAGCTATTGCAGGGATTTTTGCCTGTGGATGTTTTGTGTTTCCCAGTGTGATGCCAGGGATTATTTTCCTGAGGCGGAGTGTGGTACCTTGTCCTGAGTGGTGGTTCCTGGAGCTCATATCCCTCATGGGTGTGGGTCAGCTGTGGGCTGGCAGTGGGAGCCCATGCAATGAGATGTGGCAGCGTGCTTGGCCAGCACACAGGGCCTGGGTCCGTGGGGGACAGCTTGGGAACAGTCTTGAAAGTCTCACGTTGACTTTCAAGAACATGCAGTGCTTTGTTGTGACAAGGAGTCTTTTGTGGCTTATTATAGCAATGAAACAGACACCCCGGCCTGCTGTTGCAGCAGTGCTCTGCAAGGTGCAGTTGTTTGGTGTGTTACTGGTTGTGGGTTCTGCAGTATAATGCTGTGCGTTGTCAGTTTGGCTCCTGGGAGCCCCATGCTGAGCACAAGTTGCTACACTTGACATTGGATCGTGTGTTGCAGCCCTGCAGCATGCCTCAGCATAGCATGGCTGGGTCTGCTGTGCCGCTGCAACCAAGAGGCTCTCCTGGGGGCGAGTAGGGGTTGAGGCCGCTGTGTTTCTGCAGGGGGCGAGCCTTACTGAGCAAGCAGTGTCTGTCATGCGAGCATGTGCTCTCAGCACAGCATGTCAGGTAAGGAGGCATTGTTAGTCTGGGCGTGTTGGCGTGGATATCATTACAGCTGTAACTTCTGGGCCCCACCCAGGTGCAGCACTGCTTGTTTGGCAGGAACTTCTGTCTTTGGGAATATTAAAAGCTTACTTTTTCAAGTAGCAGCTTCATTTTGGAGGCAGCCCTGGGGATGGTGGTTTGCTGAGGGTTTTGTTCCCTGTGTGTTTTGGGAAGATGGTGGCGTCACTGCACGTGAAGGAGTTTGCACGGGTCTTCCTAAGAAGTAGTAGAGATGAATGGGAAAAAGTACTTAAGACCCTTCAGATGTCATAGTGGGGAAGACAGTACGGGGAGTGGTTCTTCTGGGCGATTTCAGAAGGTGTAGAAATGGAGGCAGGATCGCCGTCGGTTGCAGCAGCGCAGCTCTCGGGCTGTGTGCAGCTCACTGCTGGCTGAGCCTTTGTCCGCCAGCACGCGGGGCTGTGAGCAGCAGCACGTCGAGTCATCCCGAGGCACTGAGCTGTGTCTGCTGTGCTGCCTGGCTCGTGGGGTGTGGGTGCCATCGCACTGGGGGCGGGCTTTGTGAACAGCACAACCCCAGGTGCTGAGTCTGATTAAATGCTTCCAGGCAGAGCGTGGTAGGATGAAACAGGGTGGCTGTCGTGGGGGCTTGGTTCTGGGGGAGCTGCTGGCCTTGTTTCGGTGCACATCAAATAGAAAGCACATGTTCTACCTGAAAAATGCCCTTTGGAGAAAGAACACAGAACTTGCTTATCTTGATCCTTCTTTGAAAGCCGATCGTTTGAACATGGATCTGCAGTGTTTGTGTGCTCTGACAGGTCTTGTTTCCCACAGCAGTGTAAGAGCACGTGCTTGGACAAAATGCAGCTTGATTGAAAGGCTGCATAAAAACGTCAATTAGAATCAAATGGTCTGCAGTGACCTTCTTATAAAGGTATTGTTTCTAAGATTTTGTGGTCACAAAGTTAGAAGAAAAGCCTGAATTCCAGCTCACGTTCATCTTTGTTTGACAGTGCTGCCAGCAGTATCTGTTCCGGAGCAGCTCTGCATTCCGTTGGTGTGTTTTGCTCCTGTTGCAGGGATAAGGCGCATTGGCAGGAGGCCTGATCAGCAGCAGCAGCAGCAGGGCGAAGGCAAACCCATTGACAGGAGACCTGAGAGACGACCTCCTCGTGAGCGCCGATTTGATAAACCTGTCGATGAGAAGGGCGAAGGAGGAGAATTCTCTGTTGATAAGTAAGAATGTGCCTTGCGTGATGCGGAATGTGGTGACACCCTGGAGTGGAGCTGTCCTTTCTTCTGCTCCTAAGCTTAAAAGCCAAGCAGAGACTTACCTGTGTCAGCATAGAGTACTTTCCCATTGTGTGATTTTGTTTACAAACGTGGCTCAAGTTCTTACCAGGAATCACACAATGTGAGCAGTTCGTTAGTTTGACAAAAAGCGTGGTGTAAATCAGGAAGATCCTGGGTGTATTTGTGAGCATCCACAACACAGAGGTCAGAAGAGGAACTGAAGTGTAGCTCTTGCCTGCAGGATGAGATCCGTTTGCTGTTACAGCTGTTGCTTCACTTGTACAGTTAACCTCAAGCCAGTGTGGGTTTGTCCATGGAGGTGTTCATGCTTGGCTCCAGTGGCTTCTGATGTGGAAGTAGTGAAGCCAGCTCGTGGCTAAAGGGAACCAAGTGTCACATTGGGTCCAGAATTCAAGAGTTTTGAAAGCAATCTTCAAATGTTAGCGTTTTAATGGTCAGCATTGAAATACTTTTAAAAGTAAGGCAGCTGAATGTGAGATTGTAGCATCAGCAAGTGACATAATGCAGCAGAAAGGCTAAATTTGGGAATGGTGGGCAGGAGATGCAAACAAAGCATTTGTTCAGTTCCTGAAATGTGGGGAGAGCAGCATTACGTATGGTTTTGCTCCAGTCCTATAGTTCAGTATTGAAATTAGACTGCAAATAGTTAGAATTAGTTCAGTTGGGAGGGAGAGACCGGCAGAGATCCTGGAATCCAGGTGTGTGGCTGCAGGGCTACCCAAAAACAGAGCTTTAACTGGGGCGTTGTTCTGGTGCTCGTGGAGTGCTGAGAGGAGTGGGTGCTGAGCACCTTGCTCAGAAGCCTGTGCCAGTGTTTGGCCTCCCTTGTGGTCAAGATAATGAGAGGAAAAGCGAGCCACGCTCATGATAAGAAAAACTTGAAAGCTGTGTTGAAAGCTTGGGGGCCTGAATACTGAAGCGTGACCTTTTCTTGTAGACCCATCCTGGACCGACCGATGCGTGGACGTGGTGGACTTGGAAGAGGCCGTGGCCGTGGCCGTGGGATGGGCAGAGGAGATGGGTTTGACTCTCGTGGCAAACGTGAATTTGACAGACATAGTGGCAGCGATAGATCGTAAGTCTTTAGCTTTTCCTAGAGCTTCCTCAGCTATTCTTTGCTATTAATATATGGCTCAAAATGTCTTTGAATTTCTGTATCTGGACACTATAATGTTAACTCAGTTTTGTTAGTTCTGTTTCACATTCGCATTTCAGCGGCCTGAAGCACGAGGACAAGCGAGGTGGCAGTGGATCACACAACTGGGGAACCGTCAAAGACGAACTCACGTTAGTAGTCACTGATTGCTCAGAGATCTATCAGAATGTGAAATCCTAGCTCTCACAGAGTAGAGATTTGGTGGCCTTTTCTCCTTTAGATTTTGGGGACTTGTGGTATGCTGTGAAAGAAGCCAGTGACTTCAGAATGTAGTGAATTACAGATAGATGAGATGGCTTCCATTTCTAAAACTAGAATTGTGGGGAAGTTTAAAACGGGGAACTGTTTTCTGCTGTTCTTTGAACAATCCTTATCTTACTAAAAATTAAACAGGTTTAACGTTGATCAAACTAAGCAGGCTTTTTTCCCAAATATCACATTGAATGCAGCATTTTTAATATCCAGATGTATTTTGTCTCAAGCTTTGCTGGGAGACATTCAGAATGGGTATGACTCAGTGCTGGGAAGAAGGAAAGCTCAGTTTTAAAAGGCAGGGGGAGCACCAATTCTTAGTGAAGTAGTTCTTTTTAAAGAACAGTAAGCTGTGTAAACGTGCTATAGAACTTAGGCATTCATCTTGCATAGTTTTAAATAGGCATGAACTTAAACAGCAAAACAAACAAAACCCAACTGTAATTACAGCGAATTGGATCAGTCTGCTGTAACTGAGGAAACGCCAGAGGGAGAGGAACATCCGCCTGCTGATTCTGAAAACAAGTGAGTGTGTCCCCTTCTGTCGAGTTCTCTGGTTGCCTCAAAGGTGTCACTGCTTTGCTTTTACTCCCTGACAGTTTTTCTACTTCTGTTTTGCCATATTCACTTTGTATGTCCTTCAGTGGATACCAAATCAGTGACGATGCTGCTGAAGAACTCTTTAAAGATAACTTCTAGATGTCAGGTTTGAAGCTATTAGTTAGTGTATTGCAAGCTCTTAGGTCGCTTTCACGTTTAGTTATTAATAACATGGTGTAGTGTGTGTAATCTCAGGATTACAACTGTAAGTACCAAATCCAAAAGCAACCACGCTCGTAACTACCCAGAACAACCAGGGGACGGAATGTTCTGCCAATGGGAGGCACTTAGTTTCTCAGAACTGCTGAGGCTGTGTGGCTGGCCTGCAGAAGAAAGGTTGTCTCTCACTCTTTCCATCTTTTGTGCATGTGTGCAGTTCTCAAAGAAGTTAGCTCCATTGCTTCTATTTTCTCTGGGACGCTGGTAAGGGGAAATAAAGCAACTAGTCAGTGAATGGAAGAATTCCCACAGCTGTTACTTGGAGTTGATTTGCAGGGATGCAGGATGAAAATGCGGTATCTTAATGGGTGCATGTTCTCTGATGGATTCAAAAGAAAATGGCAAACAATAGAAAGCATCTCTTTAAAATGCTCGTTTGCCAAAGATTTCTAATGTGGAATCCTCTGTGGCTCCATTTTCTCACTAGTAGCTTTGGTTACAGGTGAAACAGTGACTGAGTGGAGAGTAAGGCAGGGATGTGTTTTAACTGCTTGCTGAGTGCCATCACTCCTGCAAGGTTGTAATGCCTGTGGTTAAGGTTGCCTTGTGAACAGAAAGAGCCTGAGCAGTTTTAAGGAATTAGAGCTGTAGCAGTGGTCAGAAAATGCACATAGCTCCTGTTGGAGGGAAAAAAGAGTAGTGCAGATCTCTGTGCCCACATCAGGGGTGTTGGAACTGGGTCTTCTTCAGAGTCTGTTTCAACCCATGCCATTGTATGACTATGAGATTTTGTGGTGTGCAGTATTTCCTGGCTCTTCATTACAGGTGGTGCCTGCTGCTTGACCAGGTCACTGATCTGCACAAGGGTGGGTCAGTATCTGCAGCATTCTGCAGGCTGTCTGTGTGGGTGGTTTTCTTCTGGAAGTCTTCAGAAGATGTATTCTGCTTTGAATATACAACTCTTGTTGCAGTCCATCAGTCCATCAGTCGTCTTTCCAAGGAAGCATCCTTACGTGTCTTTGCTTCCAAGTTGGCTGTTTTGGATCTCCAAATGTTTCAGTGGAGCTGTAGGATGCTTTACAGAATAAGGAGAATGCCAGGGGGCAGTGGCTTTGCAGTGAGCAGTAAGCATGGCTCTGCAGGTATCACAAAGTCATTTTCTCCTACGTTGAGTAAAATGAAATACACTGATTTTGACATAAACCTTCTGCATTATTACATCAACTGGTGTCTGCAGGAAAGACCTTTTCTTTTGAGTTGATGCATTCACGATGTTTTTGCTGCACATACATGGCACTGCTTTTTTATAATGTCAGAGTAGCTCATAAATCAAATAGAGTTGCATAAACACACCAAAGAATGGCTGGAGGATTGACTGCCTGAGTAGCTGGAACATGATCTGTTACTGAACATAGTGGTTGTGCATTTTACTTAAAAATAGCTCTCTGGCAGAAGCTGGGGTGCCAGGACTTTACAATAGGTGATGCATCTACCAAGGAACTGCGTTTTTATGCAGTTGTTTTTTCAAATTGGCCAGAAGTAGAAATTGTTTGGTTACCTGGTATGCTAATAGCTGCTTTTAATCAAGTAAAAGAAGCTGGCTGTGCAAATCAACAACAGAATCTTGAGGATTACGGTAATGGTGAGTGCCATCTCACTGCCCAGCTGGGCACACAGGGAGGCAGGTCTCTTGGAGGAGGGGAGAACAGCTCCAAACAGGTCTCATGGAAGAGTAGGCTTTAAATTTGCAAGGACAATTGCCATTACTAGTGAGAACAGGCAGCAAGGATCAGTGTTAATTTTAAAACGTTGCTGTGGTCGCCATTTATGTTTTAAAAGGTGTCTGGCTGTGATTTTTAGCAGTTTTCATTTAGCTAAAGGAGATAAATTTTCGTGTGTGCTTGTTGAGTGTTGGATTTGAGTTTTTAATACATAAATCTGAAACAAAATAATAGTATTGCAGTGTGTGTGTGTGTGTGTACATATATATATTATGTTTATTATAATCTGGTGCTGATTAGAGCTGCTTTTGAATTCACTGTGTATAGGGAATGGGTTCTAAGCCATGATCGTAAGTAATATCCATGAATTTACTACAGGGAAAATGAGGTTGAAGAAGTTAAGGAGGAAGGTCCTAAGGAAATGACCCTGGACGAATGGAAAGCTATTCAAAGTAAGGATCGTGCAAAGGTTGAGTTCAACATCCGTAAACCAAATGAGGGTGCTGATGGGCAATGGAAAAAAGGATTTGTTCTTCACAAGTCAAAGAGCGAGGAGGTAAAGTGATTTTTGATATTTGCTAGTGTCCAGATTGTATAGGTTTTTCTAATGATGTGCACTTCTTGGAGTGTGAGCTCTGTTCTTTGGCAAGCTGACCTTTCTGTCCAAGTTCATAAAGCCAGAACAACTTCTCTTACAGAAAACTGCAGCTGTACTGTAGTGTCAGTTGCTGTTCTTCCTGCGGTTAGTTTTCTTACGCTGACATATGCTGTGTTGTAACCTGACCATGGAGAGAGAAGACTGGAATACTGCAGCTGGGCAGGGAGCTGTAAGAATTGTCTCTTGGTGGGAACCTGAACGTTTTTTCCATGTTTTTTAAAGTAGGAGTTACTGTATCACTGTGCTGGTCTTGCTAAATTCTGTGTAGAACTGAAAAAAGGTGGGTTATGCCTACACCTGGTCGGATGTTGGAACCTGGTAACTTGTAATTCTGTAGAGTTACCCAGCCAATGCCTCTGATGTTTGTTAGAAACTAGGTGAATTGAGCTTGTATGTGTCCACACAGTTCCCTAGAATCACTTGAAAATTGTAATTTCTCAAATACTTTGTAATAACACCAACTTCTTTTAAAGGGCTGAGTGTGGCAGAGAGAAACACATTGTCCCACTTCAGGGAGGAGAACAGTGCAGAGCTTTGTTACCTAAGGCTGGGCTCTAGCAGCTGGATTCAGTTTCAGAAACTGACAGGACCATTAAATCTTTGGTTTTGACACTGTTAATCAGAGGCCTTCAGCCCTGTGCAGCAGATGGTTCCGACTCCTTTTGAAGTGATGCAGTAGTGTGCAATGTGCTGTTTGATCTCTGATGTGTGTTCCTGCTTTTCACACCTTGTCCTTTTATCTCTTGTGAGATGGGAGGTGCTGTACAGCTGGGGAACACTGTTCATCCCTTACCATGAGAACTCCGTTTCTAATCCACTGAGCTTGGAATGAGTTTAAGACACAATCATGTTTATTTTTCTGCTGTGTGAAGTAGATTTGTGCTTTTTATTTTCCTTAAGCTGCTCAGTGTTTGAAATTTTCCTACTCTGCTACTTTCCCTAGCTTGCATAGGAAACAGAACTGAAGTTAGACTAAGAATTGCTTAGAGGAGTAATGTTGAAGAGATGTACCAAGCAAGATATGTAGATGTAACACACCTGTAGTCGTTGAGCATGTCTGGACATCTTCCTCCCCACTCCAACCTCCATGGAGCAAAGATACGTGACTGGGTGTCAGTGGTAGATGGAATATTTCTTCCCCAGAGATATCTGAACGTATGGTAGTGTGATGAGATGGTTGTGTTCCTGAGTCATTAAGAAGCTGGAAAGCTCTTTGTTCTTATTTTCCTTCTGAAAAGTGAAGCATTAGTTTATTCTACTTTCTAAACTTCTTTCTTACATCAGAATTCTCTCATGGAACTGCTGAGGTGAGCAGATTGCTCTTTCTGAGCTGTGTTAGCTGATTGCTCTTGAAGTAAACAAATCAGATACTTCTGAGGTAACCATTCCCTGCTGTATGAGCACAGAAGGGAGATATGAACAAAACTGCTGTTAACAGACTCTTCTAAACTTGTCCAGCAAATGTCTCATTTGTTTTTTCATTGTTCGCTGGTCTCTTGAGAAAGTGTTTTTCTTTTCCTAAGCTTTACAGCAGAACTGTTTTTAAAACACAGGTGTTGGGCAAGCTTTCCCTGCAGTTCCTTTGTGAACAGGTAGAGAAGGTAGAATAATAACTAGGAGTTGTGAGCAGAGCTGCTCACCACTTGCTGTTCTCTCTGTTGTCTTGGACATTCTTCTGAGTCACGAGGCTGGTGGAAGGTTTCTGTGCTGGGTAATGAGAGTGGTGGTGTGTGGAAGTGACTTGGTTATAGGTAAATTCTGGGTTTCAGACCCACATCTTCCTAACCCTTAGGGCTGAATAATGACAATGTGCACGTGCAGATTTTTCTGAGAAGTTAAAGTGTCACAAGGGCCACCTTCTCAGAACTCCTGGGGGTGTCCTAGGAACCTTTGGTAAAGGAGGAGTGTGAGGACCCAGTGCTGCTCATCTGCCCTATCTCCTTCACCAGGCTCTCCTCCTCCTTGTGTTCTTCACAGAAGAATGAAGTGCTTGGTTGTATCTCAGGTCTTTCCCATCTGTCCCATGTGCTGTACAACGAACTCTTCGTACTGTCTCGGGTTCTTGCTGGTTTAATATGAAATCCACGTGTATTGGCAGCCCTCGTCTGATGGGAATCTTTCCAGAAGGCTGGGTTATGCCAAAAGAGATCCTTTTCCTTCCATGCAACTGACTTTGTGATTGGGTACTTCAAGTCCTGCTGAACACATAATGGGAAGTTGAGTTGTGAAGAAATCTTAAGACTTGTTCCAGTTGTTCAGAGCAGCTCCGGGAGAGTTTCATCCACCAGTGAATGAGTTCCTGCTCATCATATCTGTTGTGCTGTGCCTCTTCCTTGTGCCTTTAAACTTTTCTTGCTCTCTCATCACTTTCTTAGAGAGGAGATCACAATGGAAGACTGACAAGCAAGTATTGGAACACAGTCAATCATCTTTACAAAGTGTGTAGGAATCACTCGAATCCAGACTCTGCAGAAACTCTTTTTTCATTGAGAGTAATTACTTGAAACCACCCTCAAGCTGTGCCATCTATCTGTACAGGTCTGTGTGCTCAGTACAGTGAGATGCAGATCAGTCTGCATGTGGAGTTCCCAACAGCTCATATTAAACAACTTCTTTCTTCCAATCCTTTCTCTTTGCCTCCTGGGATAAATCCATCCTCTGCTCCTTCTGGATGCTTGCACGACTTCTGCTCCAATCCTTTTGCTGCTTTGTGTGCTCAGTGCCATCTGTATCCAGCAAGTTCATGTGACCTGATTACGTGTTGTTTCTATATGTAGTTGAGTCTCATTTCTTCCTTTTGTTTTCTCCCTTTGTTCCCTTTGTCACTTTGGTGTGGACACGCAACTTTCATCAGACAAAGGCGATGACAGAAATGCAGGGGAGTCTGCTGGAGTCAAATGAGGTACTGCTCCTTTCTATCTAACTGGTGATACATGTTTTTGACCTGAGCCCCTTCTGAAATGAAGGGCTTTGACATAAAGGAACAACAAACGCAGAGAATACGGAGCTTTTCTGTCTGTGCCTGTTGTCTCACTGCACAGTGTAGGGCCCTCTATCATTAGTGCCTTTTCTCCTTCTTGATCATCCCATAAACACTTCCATCATGAGTCTCTTATTTCTGTTGCTGTTTTTCTGCATCTTGCTGTCTGCTTTGGCTCACTTCCCGTTAGTGACTTGTTCTTAAAGCTTTGGACAGCCTTTCCCAAGATCCACAAGTGTAGCAGTGCCTTCAAGCAGCTATCTTAGATCAGAGCGCTCTCAAGAGTTGCCAGTACATACAAATGAAGTGCTTCCAAAGATGATTCGGAGCAGACAATCTGTGTGCTATGTCTTCTACCACAGGAGGAGAATGTGCCAAGTCTTCTATTGGTGTTTTAAATTAGCTAGAGTTATTTTGGTTAAATAAATCCTCAGGTTATACACAGAACTTGCTACTTGCTGGCTTTAGTGGTTCAGTTGGGAAAAATGCAGTATTTTGGTAGACTGTAGAGTTTCTTTTTTAAGCAATAGCAGCGCAGGGAAGCAGATGCACAGAACTGCTTCTGCCTCTTGGAAGAGAGTCTCTTGGCTGCCAGAAAGTTGGAAACAACATCTCCGTACCCTGCGATGATTGAAACAGTAGGTGAAACACCATCAGTAGGAAAGGAATCTAAACCATAACGGGAGGCGCTGCTTCCTATTGGAATCACTGGTGTACTTCTGCTTTAGTATTGTCGTTCTGCTTGTGCTGTCAGGTAGAGACCTGGAATGACTCTTGTCCAAAAATATCTGCTGAAGCCACCTTCAGGAGCACAGAGAAGCGATCTGAGGGACGAGAGAGCTTCAGATCAGTAAACCAGAAGTCTCTTAAGGAGCAGCTGCTGCACAGAACACATCCCAGTGAAACACGTTTGGAGTAAACCAGCATGGGGCAATACTTCTCAGTGTGCCTAATTAAGCTGTGGGTGCTGTGGAGGCCACACGTCCAGCTGGGCCTGGAAGGGGTCATTAGGGTGGGGGGAGCACTCTTGGTGGCTCTGTGCATTCTGGTGCTTGTGATTGACTCGAGGCATCCCCAGAAGCAACTTTCTGCCCTTTGACTTCAGCCCTCTATGTATCCATTGGCTGCTCTGTGAAGGATGCACAACAGATAATTAGGAGGTGTTGCACTTAATTGCACAGTATGGTGCCTTTGAAAGTCAGAAAGTCAGTATATTGTGTAACTACACCACAAGAAAAGTAACTTACGGTCAGAATGCCTAAGCTTGCATGTGGCACCTACAGGTAGGGAAGAAAGCAAACAGTTGGTCAGCCAGAATTGGGGTGTTAGAGAGTCATGGATGGTCATGTTTCCAAAGTACCATGGTTGGGCTTTTTAAGAGACAGGACTGGTCTGATCCACTGTGGTCAATTCTACATTCTGCACATCATCGTAGGTGCCTAAAATGGGTTGCTTAAGTAGAAAATTAATTATGCTGAGTAGGGGAAACAAAAACATCTGTTGCTTGTTATGTTTGGTATATAATGACTTGAAATACTTGGTCTGTTCTGCACAGTAGGATGCAGGGCGTTAAGTCTTGAGATTTCTCACTGAATGCACCAGCAAGCTGTGAGAGATTGTTTTGTCGTGGCAGTGCTGGTAGGAGTCGTTCCTCAGTGGAATTTGTGAGGTGGGTTCTCTTTTAGCCTGAATTGTGTTAGTTACCTTAGTTACATTCTGACTGAACTGTGCTTGTGCCTCTTCCACTGTTTGCTATGGCTGAATACCAAGGTGGGATTCTTTTGGTTTCCAGTGCTTGAAGTGCTTAACACGAAATGAAGCAAACGAGGACATGCAAAGCACTCATGGAGCAAAATAAAGATGACTTCTTGAGTGCATTTTGCACAAGACTTGAATGAATGAATGAATAGAACTTTAAGGTTCCTCAGGTATGAAACGAGAGGAAGTGAAACGCTGGAAAGCGAAGTTCTGTATTGGAATGGTTGGGGCCCAGGTAAGCTTAGACTTGTTCATGGGACACAACGCCAGAGCTTCTCAGAATTGTCTGGGGGATACACAATAAGTGCCAGCGCCTGAACGAAGTTAAGATGCCAGCAGTCTGTTTGCTCTCTGCGTGGTGTCTGCAGAAGTGGTGCAGTTGATTCACTGCGGTTCCTGCTGTATCTCACGCTCAGGTGTGCGTTTGGAGGTGAGCTCAGGAGCTGTGTCACTAAGAGTGCAACTGCAGATGAGAACACTTCCGTGCTCATCTGATTACTTAGGAAAAAACGGTTTGTTTCAGGCCCACGCTGAGGACTCGGTAATGGATCATCACTTCCGTAAGCCTGCCAACGACATCACATCCCAGCTGGAGATCAACTTTGGAGACCTCGGCCGCCCCGGACGCGGTGGTCGAGGGGGCCGGGGTGGCCGAGGACGTGGAGGCAGGGCCAGCCGTGGGGGCAGGACTGACAAGGTGAGCGGGGCTGACAAGGTGAGCAGCCAGAGCTCTCGGCTGTGAGGCAGCCGGGCTTGTGGCACTCCTTTCCCTTCCGTACACTCATGTTCTGGGGGGAGTTGTTCATTTAAAGCCAAGTGGAAGGTCTGTTCTTGCAGGTTTGCTTTAAAATTAGGTATTGTTAGCACAAAGGGATTGAGTGTTCAGCAGTGTTCTAACTAGGCACTAAACCAGAGGTGAGGAGTAGGTTACTATTGGAACATAAAACCAAAACAACAAAAAACAGTTCTTTTCAGCTGTACTTAAGCCTGAAAAATGACTCCTGGGACAGATCTGAATGTACTGTCAGTCTCCAAGGACAGAATATCTGCCCTGTTACCTCTGGGAGGGAATGAAAACGAGTTTGTGGCTGCGTGGTGCCTCTTCAGTTTGAGGGATTTGGGGGGATTCATATGGAAATAAAACATGATTTTTTCTTGTTGTGCAGGAATTATTTTTCCACCAGTAGCACTGAAGCCCTAAGGAAATAATTGGCAAAAGCACTGCCTGGGGCAGAGGTGTGAAGCTGACACACAGTTGTGTAGCCGTAGCAAAGTTTGACTTAATACAGGTCACTTTTTTGCCATAAACGTACCCAGATTGCTAGCAGATGAGTTTGGGCTGTGGTGTGACTTCTTGTCTTGTAAACTGGTCTGGCTCGTTCTTCCCTTTGTGGGATGCCGACTTTCTCTTTTCACTGCATCTTTTTAAATGCTTAGGTTTGTTAGTTGGAAAATTCTTTCCTGGCAGCAATGTAAGAAAAATGATTAGGAATTGATATAAAAATTATGGTGGATTTTGCTCTGAGTTGCTTCACTAATAGGACATTTAGAGGAATGCTGCCAAGAGGTGGGGAAGTACTTTGAGATCTGCAGCTTGTTTGATGCTGACTTTCTGTTTCCTTCCAGTTGGTTAAGGAGTTTGATGTGATCCACACGCCCAACCAGGTGGGTGATCTTTGCAGCCTCTGCCTTCCCCAGAGTGGGCAGCTCCCATCCCGTCCTGCCTGCCCTCCTGCTTTGTGCTTCAGTACCTGCAGATGTGTTGGCTGAATACAGAAGGCCCTGTTATTATTTCTTAACTCTAGTTTGTGGCACGGGCAATTCTGCAGTGTCTGTCTTACCTGCAGATGTTGCTGCAGCTCTTATTGGAATGGTTTATGTTTCACTTCCTCCTTGATACATGTAGATGCTTGCAGGAACTTCCGCAGTTCCTGTCTGGAGATGCTTTCTACTCTTTTTCCCCACCACATTTCTCATGCAGAAAATGAAGGCTACTCCAAAGTCCCTTCTTTTTGGATTTCATTGCAGTGCTTTTTTAGGCACAGTGGAGAGCTTTTGGGGGGAAAAATACTCTGTGAGGACTGAAGAGGCTTTTTGCTGATGTGTCTGACTTAAGCATAGATTGGCACGATGTCTTGTCTTTATTTTTTATTAACAAACAATTTGTGAACAGGGGAGGTTAAAGGAAGGTTGAGCTGTGCTCTGAACCAGTAACAGCGTTCTGTAGTGCTTTGGTCATTCCCTTGTGGAGAGCTGGTGGCTGTGTGTTGCTGCAACAGCAGCAGCCACGTGGAGTGCACTCTGATTAGGAATGGAAAGAAGCTGTAAGCCACTGCTCTAGGCGTGTGCAGCTCTGGTGTGCTTAATGCCTCTGGTGCCTCCAAAGGTAGTGTTACTGTAAGAAGTCATTGAGGAAGCTGCCTAGACCCCGGGGCAAGGGGGACCAACCAAAACTTACTGCCCATCATGGTGGAAGATGAGCAGTTGCTTCTGTAGTAATACTTTTCCCAGTACTGAACTGCTGAAGACTGCTGAGCTTCTTGCCTCTTTGAAACTCAGAGCTCTGTGGGGTAGAATGTACCAAGTAGGGTTCAGCACAGCTTATGGAAAGAAAGAAGGTGGGAGTCCCACTGTGCCCTGCTGCTGGGGTGGCACCCGGGTTCCCTGTGCAGGGCTTGGCCTTGCCCTGTACCCATGGTGCCACAGCACAGTTGTGTCGTGTGCCTGATGATGGATGGGGTGGGAATGGGAGGGATGGGAACGGAGGGGCTGGGTGCTGCTGGAGGTGATAACTTTCTGATGTTTCTCTTTCAGTCAAGTGCTTCTGCTCCTGATGTAGATGACCCAGAGGCTTTCCCAGCTCTGTCCTAAACTGGATGTCATAAGCCAACCCTGCCCTCGTTGGGCCTTCCTCTCCGAGGCTTGCATGCTTAAGGATCCTAAACAACTAAGAAATTGAAAAAAAGAAAAAAAAAAAAAAAAAAAAAAAAAAAGAGGAGACTGTCATTCATACCATTCACACCTAAAGACTGAATTTTATCTGTTTCGAAAATGAACTTCTCTCGCTACACAGAAGCAACAATATGGTAGTCAGTTTTGTATTTAGAAATGTAATGGTAGCAGGGATGTTTTCATAATTTTTTCAGAGATTATGCATTCTTCATGGATACTTTTTTGTATTGCTGCTTGAAAATATGCGTTTCCAAACTTGAAATATAGGTGTGAACAGTGTGTACCAGTTAAAAGCTTTCACTTCATTTGTGTTTTTTTTTTTGTTCTGTTTTTTTTTTAATTCAGGATTTTAGAGATTTTCCCCTGACTGCGAGCTGGATTTGAATCCTTGCACACTACTTGTGTTCCCTTAGCTCCTGCTTAGCAGGTTTTTATCAACCCGTGCTCTTCTGGGATATGTGGCATTTTAATTTGGCAGACTGAGCGCTGTCTGAAATACCAACCCCTGGAGTTACTTTGGTTTTAGTGCTTAATTTCAAACTTGGAAAAACAGTCATTTTTCATCTGCTTGGTAGCTCGTTTACACAAAAGCTTTATACAGAATTGTTACCAGATACTTGAAAAATACTCAAAGCACATTGGGTTCTGGTTCCGTAGCCGTGTATCCAGCAGCGATACGTGGATCTTTGGTCTGAACAGGTTTTAAAATTAGTGTGACACTTTTCATTCACCCTTCTTACCTTTTTATTCCCTCCTTCAACAGAACAAGAAGCTTTGTTGGCAAAAAGGAAGAAAGAAAAAAAAAAAGCTTTTAAATCACCTCTGTTTCTCCCTTGGGAGGGTGCCCTGTAGCTGAGCCACCTCTCCTCCTGTGCAGAGCTGGGGGGGAGGTGGCGGCTGCAGCTCTGGTGCTCCTCCAGGGCTGTGGCACGGTGCCCCAGGACAGCGGGATCCCATGTGCTCACAGCACGCCCCCACAGCCCTGCTGAAGAGGCAGCCCTGGCAGGAGGAACGGGGCACTGCAGTCTGTGTGTGATGCAGAAGGGCGCAGAGCAGAACCCCAGCGCTTCACCTTTAGTCTAAACCTTGTCCTGCGTCTGCGTGCTGCTGGAGGTTGGACTGCTGGTTGACAAATGAATGTTTTCCAGGGAGCGATTGTAAGAAATCCTTCGTACCCCTGTAGTCACTTGTAGGTTTAATTTAACCCCTGCCAGTGGGGACCTCACCACTTCAGCACCCAAAAGCAGTTCAGAGAATGACGAATAAGGAGGGTTTCGTAGGGTTTTTATCTGCAGCATTTAGTAGGAGACTAGAAGCAGGATTCTCATTTTATTTAATGTTTTACACTTTGGACAGCTTAAAACATTTGTAGTTTCTTAACTAGGTAGATAGAAAACAAATGGTAATGCCCTATTTTTTTAAAAGCTGTACAGGACAGGCAAAAAGAATGGGAGACCTTTGACTATGTAACCCCGAACTCCTTAACCATGGCGTTGGCTGGCTTGATTTCCCTGAACTATTTTCTACAGATGTGTTTGTTGTAAACCACTGTTAATACCATCAGATCAGACTTGCTGGTGTTCTCACCTGCCGCTTGGAAGCACCGGGCTGGGAGGAGGAGGCGAGTTTTCAGCTGGTGGATGGCGATGGCTCTTGGTTCGTTTCCCCCAACTGAGCAGGCAGGCAGGTGCTCGGTGCAGGGGCTGCAATCCTTCCAGCACTGAGTGTTTCTCTTCTGTCTCCCGCTGTGAGTTGGTAGAATGTGCTGCAGTTTCAGTTTTGGGACGCCTCGAGTAATACAACTAATTGCCTTGACGTGCAGAAACGCTTACAGAAAAGCTTTCTCTGTAACATAAGCCTTCCCCATCTCCAGACTGTGTATCTGCTGTTGTTTCAGTTGTCACTCTGCTTTTTTCCAGATGCCTTCTGGGCTGTCCAGTTGGGCATTTGGGGCCAGGCTGGCCGGAAGCTTTCCCTTCTGCTTTAGAGAATAGAGCAGCTCCTGGAACAGCACGTCACGTGCGGTGCTCGAGACAGCTTGTACTTAACATTGGTCTGTCTGCTGTTCTGATAGATGTAAATTTGCCTCTTGCAGTCCATTCGTGTCAAGAACTAAAACTGTGAACATATATCTTTAATATTGGTGGGTGTTAACTGAAATAAAGGTTTATTTTCATGCTCTTTTAAAAATGTCATGAGAACCCGTGGAGATGAAACCACTGAGATTAGTGTCTCATCTAGGTTCTGCCCCAGGTGGTCCAGATCTTCCTATGGTGATGGTGCCACCTCCATTGCTGGGATCAGACTTTGCTTTGGGAAAACATCTCCCTCTGAGTTGAGCAGTTCATTTCTGATGAGTGAGCTTGCTCTGTAGTGACTAATATCTGACTTCTATCCTCTTGCTTGCCACTTTTGCTGTCACACCAAATCCAGAGGACTAAACCTGTTGAAATCTGAGCAGTTTCTCAACAGGTGGCCAGCAGAAAAAGCTGGAGAGGGAGAAAAGCACGTGGTGCAAATTGGCTTGTGAATGTAACGATGGCGAGGTTTGAGCATGAAAGTTCATCTTATGGATCGATGCTGGGAGGAAGGGAGACTGATCAATAAATGCAAGTGTTAGCTGTGTGGGAACGGGCAATTTTGGAGGAAAATGAAACATCAGAACGCGTGAATATACGGTGGTGTCTGCAGTGGGAAGAGCTGAGACCACTCTTAACTGTAACGGTTTTGCCCATTGAGATTGGTTTGCGTAGCTTCACCTCTTGTTTTAATAAACGCAGGACGTATGCCTGAAGCTGACACTTGCAGCATTTGCTAACCTGCTTCTTTTCTCCTGTCCTCGTGAGGACCTTGTTGCCTTTGTTTCGTGAGCCCATGCTCTGCTCTGCTAGGCCTTCCGTACACTCAAGCTGGGGCTGAGTGCCCTAGGACATTCGGCGTATCGCGTTTGGGGCTGCAAAAGCCCATCGTGCTGCTTTGCTGGGGAGCTTGAAGCTGATGGGGAAAGCTGATGGTGTGTGGCCTCACCTGAGGAGGCTGCAGGGAGGGCAGCTCAGGCTCAGTCCCTGCTGCTGGTAAATGCTTGTCTCCAACTGGACTAAGTCTTCCCAGGGAGCCCCATGTCGAGTTATCTACTTTAAGAAGGAAGAAAATGAATCCTGGTGTTCAGTTTGTGATTGATAAATGTGAGAATCAGCTGGCTGTGTCTGAGGGTGCAGATGAGGCGAGTGATAAAAATAGTGGGTTTTAAAAACAGCTTCTTTTGGTTCTGGTTATCTGCTGTGTTTTTGTGCAACTGTCTGGAGATAGCAGTCTGCTGTGATGGGCACCCGAGTGTGTTTGCAAGGGTTGCTGCCGATGGAGTATGGAGAGCATGGCAGTGCTGCTCTGGTGCTGAGGAGGTGTGACCCAAGGACTAGCAGTGCTCCTGGCTGGCACACAGGCAGCCTTCCCAGGTGGGAGATATGTGGGCACTGGGGATCAGGACTTGGAACGAGCTGCCGGACCCCAGAGGTGTGATTGTGGAGTTGGTAACGTGCAAACAAAAAGGTAAAACCCTGCGTGCTTCCCAGGTGAGCAGCATTGTGCAGAGCTGGGCAGCTGTGCTTTGTTGCCTTGGTGGAGGCCTTTCTGCGTGTGGTTTCCTTGCCCACCTTGCTTGTTATCTTCACAGGTGAAATACCTGATAGCGAAGAACGAGGAGGATGTGGAGCACCACAGCTGTTCTCCCTTTCTGCTGAGCTTTTGCTGATAAAGCTGCCTCCTGCTCGGTGGTACGGTTGGTACCTGCAGTGTCTGCTCTGGTGGCTGTGGGGCTGTGGCCCTGTGAGCTGGTGATGCTGGGCACGCTGCAGGAGTGCAGCTGGGCAGTGCTGGTGCTCAGCTGTGGACAGATAGGCGTGAGATGAGGCTGCTCCGTTCTGCGGGCAGGAGTTCAGCATAGCAGTGTGAGAAGGGATCTGTAGATCCTGCTGAGCAGGCTGCTTGGTCTTGGCTCTGAGCCACAGCACTGAGTTAGAGGTGAGGAAATAGATTCCTGCTGTCTTGCATGGAGAGCAAGTAGAAGCATTGCTTCTATTCTCTGAAAAAGCAGAGGCTGAAGGTCCGGCTCCGTGATGAGGGTGTGTGACACAGGCTGCAGCCTGCTGGGGGGTGGCAGCAGTGCAGGGCTGGATGGAACAGCCATTGCTGCCTGCGTGCAGCCGTTTTGTTTAGTGATGGATGGCAGTGCACGTTTGCTGGTTTGGGATGAAGATGCCAAGTGGAGGCAGCTGATCTGCAGATTGCTTCTGGGCCGCTGCTGAAAGCCATTTTTCCTATGGAAATGCATCTTCCCTCTGCTGTGCTGTGTGAGTGTGGCTGTGAGCAGCTGAGCCCAGAGCTCCTGGCCAGCAGGGAGGCGGCAGTGAGCAGTGAGCAAGGTACCAAAGAGGAAACGCCATTCTGAAATACAGCTCAGAGCTGACCCTCTGGTAATTCTGTGACATGGGCTGCACTGCAGGAGCTGCTGTGAAGCTTCCTTGTATCTGATTTGCAAGTCTGCACATCAACAAATCCTGTTCTGGCACCCCTATGGAAATTGTGGGTGGGAGCCGGAGAAGCATATGCCTTGTGTTGGTGCTGCAGTGGGGCAGACTTGGGGGGCTGTCCTGACAGAGATGTGTGTGTGCTGCTCCTGGACAAGAGGCCTGGCTGTGAGCATCTGTTGCTACCTCTGGAAATCACTTTTTCAATGCACAACGCCTGCCATGAGCATGGTGAGCCCGTGTCATATGGTTGGACAGCAAAGGTAAGTATTCCCATCCACAGAGGACTGCTGAGGTCATTGATGGGAAGAATGGCCCATAGTGAGAGCAATCCCTTGCCATGTCTGCAAAGGGGCTTGGCTGCATCCTGCTGCAGGTGAGCATAGTGCTGGGTGCCAGAGCAGTGCTGAGAGGCAGCAGCAAGCAGCAGCACACACTGAGCACAGGCAGACAGGCGAACACTGCCAGGAGCACTTCAGAATCGGTCTCAGTGCTGTAGAGGAGCCCTGAAGCAGCACAAGGTTCTGGAGGGCAGCATGCTGGTGCTCGTGCAGCTTGTCCTGTTGCTAGTACCTGTGGTGTTACTTCTTGGGCTCTCCCAAGCACTTTGCTTTGGGAAGCTCCGTGAGCAGGAATTTTGTTCAGCGTTTCCTTACTCCTCAGTTTCTTATCATCAAGCTACTTTCCAGGGCAGCACTGTGATGCAGTGCTTGTTCTCTGGCACAATGCAGGTGCTGGGCACATGCACTGCCTTTTTGTGGATGCCCTGCTGCAGAGCTACTGCTGCAGCACACAGGCAGAGAACGCCATAACGTAGTGGTGTTAATAAGCCTTTGTGTTTTGGCACCAAGCTAGAAGGCAGTGTGTTCAGGTGTTATAAAATCACAGTGGTATTGTGCCGAATGTTTGGATTTGGATCACAGGAGTTTGTGGAACCCCTGTAGAAAACAGCAAGTAGAGCTCTCCCTAATGCTTCGGTTTACTTTTTTATTTCAAGTGAAATGCAGTGGGAAAGGATGTGGTCTCGAAGCAGCAGCCTCGAGATGCAGGTATGTTTGTGTTGCAGTTTAGAAGGGTGATGCTTGCAGCTAAGGGTCACCTCATGGCTCTTTTAGTACAGGTGCACTGAGTGTCATGCAAGGCTTTTGTCCTGAGTCTATGCCACTGCTTAACAGCTTGTTCAGCCAGCCAGCTGTGGGTGGGAGCAGCCACCTGAATCCTCATGGGAGGAAGCAAAGCATTCTGCTCCAGATGAGCTCAAATCTGGACGACCTTCTCCAGCCACAAACCTCCAGCTTTGTCATTAAAGGTGCTTTATTCTGTGCCTGCCTGCAGCTTCGCACTTGAGCTTGACCAGAGAAAACAACAACAACCAAATTTCAGGTTTCCAACATTCTATTTATAAATAATATACGCACGTAGTAAACAAAGTCATTAAATGTGTAACACATACTTCAAGCCTGTAATTAGAATACTTCAATAAATCATTAAAATTCTCAGCAGCCCATCTGACTTACTGTGTGCACATGGTGCCTGCTTCTTTATTTCTGGTGAGGATCCCTTCTGTGCTGAGCCCTGAAGGCAGGTTTGCTCTGACTGGTTTTGCAGCAGGGCTGAAAAGTTCAGTCAAGTTAGGGGATCCTTCAGTGCCCTCGTGGGGCTGTAGCACCATTTTCAGTGGGCTGAAAGGTGTGTCTGTATGAAGGCAGTAGTGAGGAATGCTGTCTGCTGGGTACTGAACAAGTCGGCTTGGCAAAAGATTCTCAGATGTCGCATTTCTGACCTGCTGTGTGCAGCTGGAGCGCAGTGCAACCATGACCTGGTCAGCTGCTGAGGTCTGATCATACTGAAATACATCCTTGCTGTTCCTGGACGAGCAATATTTTGGATGATTTTTAGCTTGTCTGGTGGAGTTCAAACCAGCCTTGTGTTCAGGCAGGGGGGCAGGAACCTGAGGCAGCTCTAAGCTCTGTGCAGGCAGCCTGAGCAATTAATCTCGAGGAGCCTGCCGACAGCCCCAGCAATTTGGACTTTTGTCTTTAATTCTACCTTGAGCGTGCTCTGGGTGAAGAGCTGCTGCGCTGTAAAGTAAGGCATGACTTAGAACCTGGAAAGGTTTGTGAGTTGGGTTGTGTTACCTGAAGGTGTGACGTACAAGTTGCTGTCCTAACTGCAACGAAACACATTGCAGGACTTGGCTAAAGTGCAAACATCCGGGCCAGGCTGATGTGCCACCCTGACAGCCTACCTTGTGAAAGAGCTGCAGTTCAGTCTCACCATATCCAAATTCAGTTTCCCTCCATAGGAAAATTCTGGTGGCAAAAAAGTTGTTGGGAAGACAGAGATGGGATTATACTCAAGTTCAGGGTCTTCTTCAGTAGTGTCTGTGACAAGAGGTGAGATGGCTGAGGGCAGGTAGGCTGTAGCTCTGTCAGTAAGTGGAGTAGCAATGTACTCAGAAACGGGTTGTGTTTGCTCTGTCACTTCCAGCACCATCTTCTTGTACAAGTCGGGAAGCTGATGCTCGTAACCGTCTCCATCTGTGGTGCTGGGTAGAGGCCTGTACTCCGACTCCTGCTTCTCAAAGCTGCTTTTCAGTTGCCAGTCACAATTGCTGCTGCTGCTGAAGATGAGCCTGTCCTGGAAAACCTGGCAGTCTGTCTG